CCTGCTGGAGAATGTTAATATTCACAAAATTCTTTTCATAATTTAAAGCCTGTATCACGCTGCCCATGGTTTTTTTTTCTTCTATGACAGGAACTTGCTTGGTGAATTGCTTAAGATGTAATGGAGAGAAGAGAAGCTTATCATTTGCATAAGTATCTGGTTTCAGGATATTTTGTTAAACTCAGAATGTGAGATCATGTCTTCTTATGTTAAACAGTTCACGCTTTTACCATGTCAGTTTGCCACAGACCTATTGGGGTTTTGAAATGCACTGTCATTTGAAAAAAAAAATCCAGACCTCTAAGTGGTATGGCTGAAGAAAAAAATCTTTTTTTTACAAAACAATAGGTAAAGAGAAAAGGAAATAACACAGTGACTGGAAAAATATTGTTTCGTTACCATTAAAGGACTAAAACCTGATTAGTGTTAGTAAAGGCCTAGATATGACCAAGTTTGGTGGATCAGTCTTGGTTCCTGAAGGAACCACAATTCACATCACAAAACCACTGATTTTTAGGTCTCTCAGAAATGTGTCCTTTCTGTCAGCTTCTAACCTGGATTTGCAGATGCTGCTCTCTAGTTCTAAGCCTGTGCCCTCAGTCCAGCTTCAGCTGAGCTGAGGACAGCAGTATCCCAGCAATTCTCCTTCCATGACTTCTCAAGGGACAGAGGGTTGATATTCTTGTGCACTTGTGCTGACAAGCAGAGTGTCCAGAAGGATTTGGGGGGGGTGTGTGGTGTGTGCATCCTCCTTCTTTGTGCTACAGTTGTTGGTATTTATTTTTTTAGAGTCTAGGCTTTGTTTCCCCCTACTGTAACATGAATTATATCCAGTAGGCTTTCCTGAAATTCAGGGCATCCATAGTTATCTAACACAGAGAGAAAATTGCCTCCCAGCTTTTCATGTTACCAGTTCTCTGCACTGTAGCCCTTACCTGGTGGGTTTGCTGCCTGTTATTTGTAGTTTCCATGCCTGCCCTAGTAGCAGCCAGGACCCCTGCCCCTGTGAGTGCACTGCCTGCTCCCCGAGCAGCTTACAGCCAATCTGAGACTGTATGGAAAGAGACACAGCCAGAGGAAATGAAATCAAGAGGCAGGACTGAGAGGCAACACAGGTAAAAAGTCCTCCACACACCAGCCTCCTTACTATTCTCCAGCCTCCTCTAAGAAGTTGTGGCACGGGAGAGATTTTAGGAGGAATTTGAGCACAGATCCTGAAGTATATTGGCAGATGTTTAAGGACTCACCTTTAGAGAAGGAGCTTTCCAAAGCAGAGCACCATAAGTTTCTTGTTAATAGGTCAACCACTTGGGAGTGAAAGTGGAATAAAGTGGAGACCCAGAGTGAACACTGAAAGCTGGTGTGTTTTCACCAATAAGCAAAAAGGAACCAAAGGAACCCCCCCCATCTAAAAATAAGCAGTTAAGTATAACCTGTGAGGAACTGCAGCTGTTGAGACATGGAGAAGTACTGGAGAAAGGGTTTACTTCTGCTTCTCTTTTTTTCTTAAAGCACTGAAAAGAGGAAAACCAGCAAAGGTAGCCACATTTCTCCTAGCCTCTGGCTCTG